CCGCAGCTGAAATCGAGACGTTCAGAGATGGTATTCTGCATAACTTGGTTTTAACAAGCGATTATTTGAGTTACTGTTGCCTTTCTGTCATCTCAAACCAGTCTGCCCATTCTCCTCTGACATCAGCAAGGAATTTTCGTCCACACAGCTGTCGCTCACTAGATGTTTTCTCTCTCTGTCTTCTTTTTCGGACCATTCTCTGTTAACCCTAAAGATGTCACTTAAATCCTCTTTCTTCTCCATTCTAATGCTCTGGTAGAAATTCAACAAGTTGTCTTGACTCCATCTACGTGCCTAAATGCACTGATTTGCTGTAATGTGATTTACTGATTAGCTTTTGTGTTAACAAGCAATTGAACAGGTGTAAATAATAAAGTGGCAGGTGAGTGTTACCGTATATATATTATAGATATTTTTTATAGTTTTATTTTAATTTAGGGAAGCGTTAGAGATATTGAACACACTTTCTTTGCAAAGGATTCTTGTTAGTAACTGGCTTTTAACAAAGACATTAAGAGTTTGTGGATTATATCGTCGGCAATAGAATTTATATGTAGACAGCTGGAAGGCCCTGGGAAACATCATGGATATTGATGGATTACCGTATGTAATGTGTTTGGAGCAAGGTATCCGCATCAGGAAAGAAAATGGAAGGATTCTTCTGTCTCTACTTGATCCAGTCAACTCTCAATCTCGCCAGAGACAACGTCTCAGCTAAAGGCAGTATTTTTCACAGGGCCCTAATTTCATATGGCACATCGATTCCTATAACAAACTAAAGCCCTGTGGTAAATGCAGATGCATAGACAGATTTTCCCGTAGGATTATATGGCTAAGAGCAGCATACACTAACAGCGATCCAAGAGTTATTGGAGGCTTCTTTGTCAAAGCAATAGAGCAGGCCAGCGTTTACCCAAGGCTTGCGCTCACCGACATGGGTACAGAGAGTGCTGTGGTAAGAGACATCCAACAGCATTTGCGGCGAAATGATGAAGACGACAGAGCAGGACAAGAAGAGCTCATAACAGTAGGACTGAGAGCTGGTGGGGACAGATGAGAGTGGGAGTGAATACAACAGGTGACTGAGATCAGGCATAAAGACACAGTATATGACTAGCTGAGACACATTTGTTCCACCTTTTGCACCAGCGCCATATCGTCGCAAGGAAGATATATTACTATGATAGTAGACTATGATGGTAGACTTTTCGTTCAGAGGGGGGCCATAGGGGGTCCAAGGCTGTGTTACAGGGGCACTGGCCCCTCTGTTGGCTTCCCCCCAAAACTGCCACAGGCCCAACCTCAGTCTGCTCATCAACTTAACTTTCACTGCATTTTTGGTCAGTGCAATATTAGCCAGTAAACACAAACCCAGTAATAAACAAACAGAACGGAAGTTTACTTTGGGCCAGTTGCGTCTTGTAGTCAAAGCGTCCGATGAAAGCGTCAATAAGTTGCAATGTGTGTAAATATAGTGTGATTAAATAATACTTATGAAAATAATAAAGTGCACTAAATAGAGTTTCCTACTGGGTAAGTGATGTTAATGAATGGGAGCCAGCACCTGTGAAATAAATTAGGGATGCACCGAATTTTCTGCCACCGAAATTAATCGTCTGAAAATATCTGCTCATAATATTCAGCCTCACATTAGAAAATTTAAACCCATTTATTTTAACTGCTGTGTGAAACGGATGTGGGAGCAAGCAAAATTTTAAAACACATTTCAAAGCTTACAAGGCCTTACTACCCTAGTTCAGTCAGTCTCTGTAGGATGATATCGCTATACAAGTTTCTCGCTTTTACACTACATCTGCATTCACCAGTCATACACATTCATTCCTGTAAATTTCACACTTTCATCTAGGATTTTTTTCGCGATTTTCCAACCCCCACCCTGGCTCCGTATTTTTTTGACAGGTGAAATAGTCTAAATATGTGAAGACACTTAATTCAGTTATAGTCTACAGATGGGCAACATCTAAGAAACTGGCCCGTTATTTAATAAAGATCTCCTCTCTAAAATCCCAGAGGTTGCAGGGCTCGCTGTATGAAAATAATGCTGATGTGTTAACTTAATTTCAGCTGCAGCCGCAGTGGAACAGCAATCTAATCTAAAATATTTAAAATTTAAAATCAACATCCCTGTAATTAGTTTAACACATTGCTCACCTCAACATTACATCTACTTGACTCGAAATGTACATTAAACTGAATGCAGCATTGTAGACAATATTTTGTCCTTTTTAATCCATGTTTCCACTGCATGGATAGCCTTTGGACCTTGCTGGAAATTGTTCTCAGTCCCCCTCCTCAAAGGGTAAATTATTATCATAACAATTTAATAATGCATGGCATTTAAACAGCACTTTTCATACACAAAAAGAAATAACAGTAGCCTACTGGTCCTACCAGGCTGGACATGCAGTCTGCCAAAATATTTATCTCCCTCCTCATAATGCACAGATGATGGCCTACCATCAAATATATAATTTTGTGTATACACAAAAGACTGAGACTGCCCTGCTTAAAGTCACCAATGACCTTTTAATGTCTGCTGATGAAGGTATGTGCTCAGTCCTTGTACTCCTGGACCTTAGCGCTGCTTTTGACACCATTGATCACAACATCATGTTAGACAGACTGAGGCACTGGGTGGGGATCTCTGGTACTGCCCTAGAATGGTTTTCATCCTACCTGTCAAATAGGAAGTTTTGCGTGTCTGAAAACAACTATGTCTCCTCGTTCTGTCCAGTTAAATATGGTGTGCCTCAGGGGTCGGTCTTAGGACCCATTTTGTTTTCCTTGTATCTCCTTCCCCTTGGACATATTATCCATAAACATGGCATTTCTTTTCATATTTATGCTGATGACACAAAATATACTTGCCCGTCAGATCCACAGACCCTGGAATGCTGAGTTCACTTAACAACTGCCTTTGTGATGTTAAAAAATGGATGTCAAATAATTTCCTAATAATTTTTAGAATTGACTTCAAAATTCTATTGATCACTTTTAAAGCTCTTCGTGGCCTCTCGCCTTGTTATATTTCTGACCTTTTAGTCCCATACGCACCAGCACGTACCTTGAGATCCTCGGGCAGAGGTCTGTTGTCTGTTCCAGAGTCTCGACTGAAAACTAAAGGGGACAGAGCGTTTGCTGTCAGGGCCCCGAGGCTCTGGAACAGCCTGCCCGAGGAAATCAGGTCGGCTGAGTCAGTGAACTCTTTTAAGTCCCTTCTTTAAACATACTTTTATAGGAGAGCTTTTCCCGATCTTATTTGACTTTATTTTATCCCTTTTATTTTATTGTATTTTACTAATTTTATATTTATCTTAAATTTTAGTCTTTTCAATGTTTTCATGCTTTTATCTTGTATTGTTTTTGTATTATTGTCTCTTGGGTATTATTGTCTTTACACTTGTTAAAGCACTTTGTAACACTTTGTGAACTCTTTTAAGTGCCTTCTTAAAACATACTTTTATAGGAGAGCCTTTCCTGATCTTCCATCCATCCATCTATCGCCAACCGCTTATCCTGCGTACAGGGTCGCGGGGGGGCTGGAGCCAATCCCAGCTGACATCGGGCGCAAGGCGGGGTACACCCTGGACAGGTCACCAGTCCATCGCAGGGCCACACATAGACCAACAACCGCTCACACTCACACCTAAGGACAATTTAGGGTGACCAATTAACCTAGTCCAATAAAGATCCAAGTTATAAAGGAACAACTTCCTGTAGGTTACGGTCAAAACAGGAAGTGATGACATATCCCCACATAGCCTTGTGCGATTTACATGAAACTTGGGCCAGTACTTTTCCATGCCTCAGCTAGGCTCTGTGCAAAATGTGGTGCCAATCGGTGACTAGTTGGCGCTGTTGTTGCAAAATCTTGCACCTTGCCTGTGGGACTGCAGGTCCGACTTGCATGGCCGCGGGGCGAGGCTTGCACTGGAGTGCTTGCAGGTCTAGTTGTCATTGTCTTTGTTTTTTTCACAGTGTGAAGCACTTTGTGTTACTTCGCTGTTGTATGAAAAGTGCTGTATAAATAAAGGAATTACACTGGTAAAAAAAAAAAACTGCACTGAAGTACAATTTTGAGATACTTTACTTGACTGATTTCCATTTAACATAAAAGGATGAAATGTTTATAAATGTTTAACATTTACGTCTCTGCACTTGTCACACAAACCAGATAGGAAGTTGACTCCTTTGATAGTCGTCATCAGTGTTGGGCAAGTTAATCAGAAATTGTAATACATTACTAGTTACTTATTGCTCCTTAAAAAAGTAATTATTACTGGGTAATAAACTAGTTACATTACTCGTTACTATATTACTTTCACTACTACCACCACCCCTCCCTCCCCAAACAAAGCAGTCTCTCTCGACTTTTTAAATAATATGATTCATAACAGCAGCAAGGAGTATGTTTCTTACAAAACATAACGTTTCTTAATGCCACCGGCTGAAATTAAATAAATGACGCAAGTAAATCCCAACGTTTGAACTACTTTTTTTCTGCACATGTATTTATAAGAGCAGTATTCAGTATTCTTACAAAACGTTACGTTGCTTAACGCCACTCTGTCCCGACGAGTCCAAGCATCTCTGGCGGTAGCAGCCGATGTTATTGAGAGTTTTGCATGCCTGCCGAGAATTGCAGGCACCTCCAAATAGTCCTACTGTTTTTAGACGCTATAATATCCTTTGTGGGGTTCATCAATGGTGATGGTTACCCCCACGAGGTGCATGCAATTCTCGGCAGGCATGCAGAATTCGGCACAACCTGTGTTTCTTTCTATAAGTTTCATGTTGTTGTGCTGCTTTAGCAGATGTTTCAATAAAGTAAATGTAGAATTGTTCGCGGTTGAAAGCTTTCTGCTGGTTGCACAAAGTTTACAACGGACGACAATGTTCTTTGCATCTTAGACTGTGACACAATAATCGTGATACTAGTACAGCTGTGTTAACTCCCTCCTTCTCCATTCTTCCTTTAGCTTCTTGGCTAATAGCTGACTTGAACAACATAGCCGCTGACCTGCCACGCATTCAAGCATTCACATCAAGGACGGTGTGTTCATTATCACAGTAACACAGTAACTACTAGTTACTGGGAAAAGTAATATTACTACTGCCCAACACTGGAAGTCGTCGTGCATCAGATTTGGGCCAGCCTGGAATGGACCAGCCGTTCGGGATTCTTCCTGCTCTTCCTGACTGAAAAGTGAAGAGAAGTAAGTAAAAGTAAAAACCCGTTCGGTAGTAGTAGTTCTAGGACCAGATCCACCGACGCTAATGTCAAAAGTGCTAAACTGGCAAGAGGAAGTTTCCAAAACCCGGTTTACAGGTGATAGAGTGACAGAGGACAGTGAAGCCAAAGATAGTGCAGCTGAACAGTGGATGTGTGTCTAAATGTGTTAATACAACATGTTATAAGAATTTATTAGTGAAATGAAAATGCTTTTGGCCAGCTACTATATTATAAATGTACCAGCAAGAAATAACTGAGGTAAACGGTACGGTATCTGTGTGTTAAAACGGCTAGTGGAAAAACTCATATCTGAGTTTAGCAAAGCTCTGAATTTCTACATTTTGCTGTCCTGCTGGGATTTTGTGGAAAATCACTTCAGTATCAGTGTCTACTGTTTAAGTTTTATTACAAATAAACAATAAGTCATTCAGTCACATGATATGAAATAATGACGCTGCTGCTGTGTTTTTTGTAGTTTATCAAAATTGGGCCTTTATTGGTTAATTTATGTTATTTATATCAGGGGTGATTATATATGCTGCTGTCTTGGATAACATTCTATTTTTTGGGAGGTATTCAAACAGATTTTTGTGTACTGTCATGACTTAAACCCAACCAGCAAACCCTGAGCAGCAGTGAGATAGCTAAATATTTTAGTCTTTGCAATACTTGTATGTGTTTTGCATTTGTATTGTAACCTTGTACATATGAATACGTGGGGTACAGTTGGCACCTTGGACACACTGGGACTTTATAGAAAAGTCAACAAATACGCCTAACTTTCCAGAAACCTGGTTGGTTAGTGTTTATTTAGGGAGTTGAAAGAACATTATGTTCATGCATTCTGAATTGCACAGAATCTCTCTCCTTCTGTCACCATTTACCTCCAAGACTGACAGAACCACATTGCTATCCCTATAGAGCCACACTGCTAACATGGCTAAAAACTGTCAAATTAATTAGATCAATATTTTGTTTTGCTATTGCTCATTTTGGTTTCTTTCTTTTCCTTATTTTCACTTCTTTGAGAAGTATCCCACCACAAAAAGACATGACAACAAATCTACCAGGAAGTGCAAAGTATCTTTAACTGGCCCATAAAAAATATATAAAATGAAAACAATGCTTGGATGCTAATTACAAAATATTTGTACTGTAATATGTACAGATAAGGTTTTTACATGGTGTACCTTCTGTCTTTAGTTGAGGCAAATATTTGCTTTTAGCTCTGAACCTCTGGACCTTGGATGCACTGGGACATCAGGGACAGATCAACAGACACTCTTTGGAGTTAAGAGAGAAAGCAGGAGGAAAGAGAACACACAGTGGCACAAAGCAAGTTCCACATTGAGATGTAAAATAATAGTAATGGTAGTGGTGGTGATTATACAAATATGAAAAAATTAATGATAGGACTAATAATTATTGTAGCAGCGGTTGTTGAGCAGGAAAATGGGGGCAGCAGTCAGCTAGCTACCACAGATCCAGAAACACCAGCGGAAAGCGACAGAAGTGATATAATTGGGTATCCTTTGCATAACAGTGGACATTTATGGAGTGTTTCCTAATAATATTGCCTAAGTGAAGCATATGTAAAGTAAATACAATTCATCATCATTCTTACTTTGGCGTGCATGGAGGATTCATTAACATGCAAAAATGGACATCACTTTGATAAAAAGGACTTAAATCAGATTAGTGCAGTTCCTTTAATGGTTTAAAGGTCATTGGAAATGTTCACCTGTGTGTCTCTGTCCTCTGATGAACTCTAAATCCTGACTGAAAATCCCCAAATAAACTATTGCTGTGTAGAAAGTCACAGGACTGATTGGCGACTGCTTTCTTAAGGATCTTAAAGAGAAAGGGAAGGTTAGACATAGGACTGTGGTACATAGTCTGATATAGACAGATCATGTCTAGTAAAGAAGTGGTAACTAAGGGCCATCCCATCCTAATACAAGGAGGTCCAAGAGGCAGGTTGATGGATTACATGACTCAATTTCCTGAGTTTGAACATAAGTTGTTACCAGTTGAGGGCAGGATATGATGGAGTCTGTCTCTCATAATTAGAAGTGTATCATTAAAGAAGCTCACAAAGTTGTTACTAGCCAAGGCAAGTTTATTTGTATAGCTCATTTCAACAACAAGGCAATTCAAAGTGCTTTACATAAAACATAAAAGCAACAGGGAAATATAAAAAAGTTTAAAAGCATTATAGGGAAACTGAAAACATACACATTAAAAAATAATAAAAGTTAGAGTGCAGTGTACAATCAGGGTTAAAAGAGTTAAATGGAAAATAAAAACAGGCTGAGGGGTTGAGCAAATAATTGAGTTACAATTATTTTGAAAAGAGAATAAACGGAGAAGTACACTTAATCTACTCTCTCTAGCTAGTCTGTACTCGGGTCCATAGCAATCTTTGGGGCCACTGAAACTCCAGAAACCCTCGGACACTACAGAGAAACCAGGACATGTCTGTCCGCAGGCCACTTTGATCCAGTTATACTCTGGACCCACCCGCGCTTTTACAGGTGGACAGAGGTTCCTGCAAATCACTCAGGCGTGAGATTTAAGACCACTTCCTTCACTCTGTTCAATCTCACTCTCACTTTTCACTCAATTTTACTCATTTCTCACTGGGTAAATATTTAATTAATGGATGGAGCAATGGTAAAAAGCTAAAAAGAAAACAGGACAGTAAAAGTTACAGTGCAGCGTAAGTTATCAGTCTACTAGTTAAAGACAGTGGTAAAAATATTTAATTAAAAGCAATGGTAAAAAGAAAAGTCTTCAGTCTTAATTTAAAAGAACTGACAGTTTCAGCAGACCTGCAGTTATCTGGGAGTTTGTTCCAGATATACGGAGCATAATAACTGAACGCTGCTTCTCCTTGTTTAGTTTTGACTCTGGACAGAAAGCAGACCTGATCCCAGACGACCTGAGAGGTCTGGATGGTTCGTAACGAAGCAGAAGATCAGAAATGTATTTTGGCCCTAAACCATTTAGTGCTTTATAAACTAACAGCAGGATTTTGAAGTCAATTCTTTGACAGACAGGAAGCCAATGTAAAGACCTCAGAACTGGAGTGATCTGATCCAACTTTTTGGTCTTAGTGAGGACTCGAGCAGCAGCGTTCTGAATCAGCTGCAGCTGTCTGATGGATTTCTTAGGGAGCCCTGTAAGGACACTGTTACAGTAGTCGAGTCGACTGAAGATAAATGCAAGGATAAGTTTTTCCAGGTCCTGCTGAGACATAAGTCCTCTAATCGTTGATATATTCTTCAGGTGATAGTAGGCTGACTTTGTAATTGTGTTAATATGGCTCCTCAAATTCAGGTCTGAGTCCATGACTACACCAAGATTTCTGGCTTGGTTTGTGGTTCTTAACATTACAGATTGAAGTCGAGCGCTGACTTTCAATCGTTCCTCCCTGGCTCCAAAAACAATAATTTTAGTTTTATCTTTGTTCAATTGAAGAAAATTCTGGCACATCCAGCCGTTGACCTGCTCAATACAGTTACTCAGCACCTCTATGGGATCATAGTCCCCTGGTGAAATGGTTATGTAAATCTGTGTGTCATCTGCATAATTATGGTTGTTTTTCATAATCCGAGCCAGTGGAAGCATGTAAATGTTAAACAAAAGAGGTCCCAGAATGGAGCCTTGGGGAACTCCACATGTCATTTTTGTCAGCTCAGATGTGTGATTACCTATAGACACAAAGTAGTCCTTGTCCTTTAAGTAGGATTCAAACCATTTTAGTACTGTGCCAGAAAATCCAACCACCTTCTCAAGTCTGTCTAGTAATATGTTGTGGTCGACCGTGTCGAATGCAGCACTGAGATCCAATAATACTAAGACAAATTCTGCCACTGTCAGTGTTTAAATGGATGTCATTGAAGACCTTAACAAGAGCCGTCTCAGTGCTGTGGTGTGGTCGAAAACCTGACTGGAAGACATCAAAACAGTTATTTAGTGCCAAGAAAGCATTAAGCTGTTGGAAAAAAAGCCTTTTCAATGATTTTACTTAAAAATGGGAAATTTGATATGGGCCTATAATTGCTCATTAGAGAAAAAACCTGAGAGGAGAGACATGTTGACAATTTGTAGTAAACCTGAGGCCATGCATTTAGACACATTTTTGAAAAAACCTGTTGGCAGAATATCAAGGCAGCATGAGGAGGATTTCAGATGTTGTATTATGTCCTCCAGGTTTTTATGGTTAATAGAATCAAATTGTCTCATGCTGTATAAATTGTTTTTAAGTGGACACAGGGACAAGACATATCCTGTTACTGGCATGGAGGCACTGATTGCTTGTCTAATTGTTTGAATTTTGTCTGTGAAGAAGGAGGCAGATTCATTGCAGGCCCTGGTGGATAGAAGTTCAGAGGCTACAGACACAGGAGGGTTGGTTAGTCTGTCAACAGTAGCAAACAGGGCACGTGCATTATTAGTGCTGAGGGTTGTAGGAAAACATGGCTCAATAGAGCTGTGACTCAGTCTGGCTACAGTGCTGCAAAGTTGTTGTTTTCCTCTATTAATCATGAGGCTACTCAGGCATTACGGTGAGCCTAAATATATGTTCTGCTCCGTTGATGCTTTTATGTTCCTCAAATGTAAGTCACTTTGGATAAAAGCGTCTGCCAAATGAGTAAATGTAATGTAAATGTTTTAAGAATGTCTTGCCATATTAAGCACCAACCAGCATCATTTTATTTATCAAAAAGTTTGCTTTAATTTGCCAGTTTGGGAGCTAAACCATACTAACACTTGTTGTTGTTTTTTTATCTGTCTACATCTGAGAAAGCTGAATGTTGACTTGTGTCTTAATGCATTTTGAACTGCCTGGTGTTCAGTCTGTTGAAAATGTCAATCTCTTTCTTGCTTTCTTTCAACCTCAGATTCAGTATAACAGCAATACATAATGTAATAATATTTTTAGTGCATAATGGTCAAGTCAAAGTTTTCAATTTCTCAGAAACAACTATTCACCACATCCTGTATACATTATACTGTGTATGCTGAAGGTTTGTCAATATCCTGTGTATGTCTGCTTTGGCCTGTTTCTAAAGGTGTATTCTGGAAGGATTTTCTTTCAGTATATAAAACACTTGCTTTGCACATTAAGGAATACCCTACAAAACATGTATGTGGTCTTCATTTAAATTGTAACCTTGTACTGTACATTTAAATATGTGGGACACAGGTGGCATTCCTGGACCTTGGACAAACTGGGACGTCAGAGAAAAAAAGTCAAAGACGCCTGCCTTTCCAGAGGTCTGGTTGGTTGGAGGTGTATCATCCAGAGGAATATATGAGGGAGTTGACTGGACTTAATATTCATGCATTCTGAATTGCCTGGGGTTCAGTCTGTTGGTTGTGGTACATTTACACTTTGAGTGTCACAGATCCAGTAGAAAACATGGGCACCGGATACTCAGAGCCAACTCAAGAGCACTATGACATGTTTTATTCTACAATGCTGGAACATATTTCCGAGCACCCAAACTTCGTCTCCAAATTTGATATAGGCATAGACGAGTCTCTACTGAAATATTCTGGCACAGACTCAAACGCTCAGCTGATGGCCTACTCTAATGAGCTGCTCACCAAAGTGCCAGGCTACATTGCCCGTTTAGGATCTAGTTTGGGTCCGATTACTTCAGCGCCAAATGCTGTTGGAATTGGAGCATTGGTGATTTCCATGATCATGGAGATCTGCATTTTGAGCACCACTCAAACTAATGATAATCCATACAGCATGCTCCAACGTATATTTGGTGAAGAGAAAGCCTCATCTGTCCGGGACACAATGTCAGAGTATCTGAATCGCCATCAAACATTCATTGACAACGAACAACGATTAAGGGAGGAATTACGGAGACTAGAAGCCCAGCTGAGCAACCATCTCACCATCCTCAGAAACTCCCTGCTGCATGACGGACAGATGGGCACCCGTGGGTTCAAAATCTGGGTCAATGGAGCCTCCTTCCACCTCCAGATGTTGATCCATGAAGCTCGACTGAATCCTCAGACTGGCAAACGTGCATCAGCCTACCAGACTGCAATCACAAGAGCTATCAGTTCATATTTGCAGCTAGCTGAACTGTGTCCGCCTCAATATGATTGCTTTAGTCAACCGAGGGTCAGTGGTCGTGGTGGTGGGCTAGTGAGCGTGTATAGGAAAAATTTTAAATGTCATCAAGTACGCTGTGATGAATTTAGCTCCTTTGAAGTTCTCACTCTTAAAGTTGGAGGGCTGCAACCTATCATATTTGTTATAATTTATCGCCCCCCAAAACCGCCTGGAGGATTTTTATCAGAACTTCCTGAATTTTTATCTACTCTGGTTTTAAATTATGACAGAATTGTTCTTTGTGGCGATTTTAATATTCATGTTGATGACCCCACCAATGTTAATGCAACTGACTTTTTAAATATGGCCACTTCTTTTAACTTCAAACAACATGTCAAAGGGCAAACACATAACCGTGGTCATACACTGGACTTGGTTTTTACCCTGGGTGTCAGCATTTCCTCTCTGGAATTAGTGGACATGACCATATCTGACCACAGATGTATTGTTTTTAGCTGCGATTCGCCTGTTACTCATGCCGCCTCACCAAGCTCCGTGTGTTGTCGCATCTTTAATGAACAAAGTGTTTCAAAGTTTTGCGCAGTCTTTCAGAGCCAAAGCCAACACCTGTCTGATTCCAACACCAACAATCTGGTTGATCACTTCAATCATATCTGCTTGTCGTCACTAAATATTACTGCTCCTCTAAAGGTTAGGCCTACGTCTAAAGCTAGTAAGCAACCCTGGATAAATGACAGCATTCGCAGCCTAAAAAGGGAATGCAGGAAAGCAGAGCGCAGATGGAAAAAATCCAATCTCCAAGTCCATTACCTCAGTCTGAAGGATTTATTAATTAACTACAATAACATGGTTAAGGATGCGAGAACACACTATTTTTCTGAACTCATTACTACACATAAAGACAATCCCAGGTTTCTGTTTAAGACTGTGGATCAGCTGGTAAACCCAACCCCTCCTTGTGCCTCAGCTGGAAGTAATGATGACTGTGAATTGTTTTTATCTTATTTTACCAATAAGGTGGTGTCAATCAGAGCCTCTATTACCCCCGTGGCCTCTTACTCAGAGGTTCCTCACCAGCAACAACAGAGTTTTAACCAGTTTTATCCCATCGACTTGTCTGAGCTTTTAAAAACAATATCACAAATGAGAGTGTCCTCCAGCCCACTTGATATAATACCTACAAAATTTTTACTAAAAGTAATATTCTGTTGGGCCCCATTTGATCTCTGTTTTCAACAGCTCCCTATCTACTGGTTGTGTCCCTGATTATTTTAAAACGGCTTGCGTGAACCCACTTTTAAAGAAACCTGGTTTAGATCCCTCCCTCCCACAAAATTTTAGACCAATTTCAAAACTGCCTTTTATTGCAAAGATTCTAGAAAGAATTGTGTCCAAACAGCTGCTCACTGTGCTGGAAAATAACAAAATATTTGAAAAGTTTCAGTCTGGTTTTAGGAAGTACCACAGCACTGAGACTGCCCTGCTTAAAGTCACCAATGACCTTTTAATGTCTGCTGATGAAGGTATGTGCTCAGTCCTTGTACTCCTGGACCTTAGCGCTGCTTTTGACACCATTGATCACAACATCATGTTAGACAGACTGAGGCACTGGGTGGGGATCTCTGGTACTGCCCTAGAATGGTTTTCATCCTACCTGTCAAATAGGAAGTTTTGTGTGTCTGTAAACAACTATGTCTCTTCGTTCTGTCCAGTTAAATATGGTGTGCCTCAGGGGTCGGTCTTAGGACCCATTTTGTTTTCCTTGTATCTGCTTCCCCTTGGACATATTATCCATAAACATGGCATTTCTTTTCATATTTATGCTGATGACACACAAATATACTTGCCCGTCAGATCCACAGACCCTGGAATGCGGAGTTCACTTAACAACTGCCTTTGTGAAGTTAAAAAATGGATGTCAAATAATTTCCTCCAGCTGAACTCAGACAAAACAGAAATCCTGGTCATAGGGTCCCAGCAGATGGCAAATCAAATACTGCCATCTGCTGGTTCCCTAGTAAATCACATTAAGCCTGTGGCAAAGAACCTTGGTGTTTGGTTTGATAGTAATTTAAATTTCGAGCAGCACACCACAAAGCTTGTTCAATCATGTTTTTATCAACTTAGAAATATAGCTAAAATTCGATCTATGTTAACTTTTAAGGACACCGAGACCATTTTACACGCCTTCATCTCATCACGCCTGGATTATTGCAACAGCCTTTTCACCTGTTTAACCCAAAAATCTATTGATCGACTCCAGACTGTCCAGAACTCAGCTGCCAGGCTTTTAACCAGAACAAAGAAATATGACCACATTACTCCTATTTTAGCTTCATTACACTGGCTCCCAGTATGTTTTAGAATTGACTTTAAAATTCTATTGATCACTTTTAAAGCTCGTCATTTTAGTCCCATACGCACCAGCACGTACCTTGAGATCCTCGGGCAGAGGTCTGTTGTCTGTTCCAGAGTCTCGACTGAAAACTAAAGGGGACAGAGCGTTTGCTGTCAGGGCCCCGAGGCTCTGGAACAGCCTGCCCGAGGAAATCAGGTCGGCTGAGTCAGTGAACTCTTTTAAGTCCCTTCTTAAAACATACTTTTATAGGAGAGCTTTTCCCGATCTTATTTGACTTTATTTTATCCCTTTTATTTTATTGTATTTTACTAATTTTATATTAAATTTTCATGCTCTTATCTTTTTTTTGTATTATTCTTTACACTTGTTAAAGCACTTTGTAACTTGTTTTTGAAAAGTGCTCTACAAATAAGGATTATTATTATTATTATTATTATTTGCAGAACCTGGATGATTTGCTTAAGAAATTCAAGACTTTCATAAGGACTGGTGAGCCACAAGGGGAAAAAGGAGATTTTCTGGATTATCTTTTCTTAAACTATGAACCAATCTCAGGCTTGAAGAGTCATTTTTTAAATGTCAATAACAACCTCTTAACTCTCATCAAACAACACGATACATTCACTCTGCCGTCAAGAAACTGAGCTCTCTTTCACAGGTTAGTTTAGTTTAGATCTCTCTGATCACTTTCCGTAAATATCACTAATCGTATATACTTAACACAGTTATGAGAAAAACTATAATGTTAATAAATAAATTCTGTTAGTTATTGTGCCCTGACTGAGTGAGAGGATTTCTCTTGAATTCATTGTGTCAGTAAGGATTCACTCAAAGTGTCATTTAAAGAATTGCGTGGAAGCTTTGTCAACAACTGAACTTTCTGTGAGAACGTGAGCAGTGTGATACAGGCAGCCTGTTTGTGAACAGATTCACCCTCAGTGAGCTACATCAGAGTGCTGCCATCTTGTGGTGTAAATATTCACTTACATGACAGCAGAGAGTCTTTAGCAGAACTGTTCTACTGTTACAAAGCCTCAACCACACTGACTCACATACACAATTGTCTTTAAAATAACTGAAACATATGGTGTGGCTATTAATCACTAGCGTATGCTTGATTTGCTATTTAAACACAATTTCTTTTTTCCGTCTGTACTAAATTTTCTATGTATCGTGTATTTCACAAATTTGTGTGATTTCTTTGGATTCATGTTCTTGTATAATTTGTTTCTTGTAGTAGTAGATTAACTCATGTAGATCACAAACACCTGAGTGAAGAATGTGTATCAATATAGAATATATTGCTTAAAATGCCTGATGAAAATCCAAAAGTTGATTTGTTACATTAAATTTAACAGCAAGTACTGTGTGTTGTGCTTCTGTTCGACTTTTTTCTTCTTATTGTCTTTTGATCCAAAGTTGTTGGGGTGTTTTTTTATGTGCAAGGTCTACAATCAGTTAATTAATGACAGAAGCACAACAGACACTCACAAACACACTCTGTTGAGGAGCATCCTCCACAGATCCACATTGAGTGTACACCGCCTGGAAGGGATTGAATACTGGATCCAGCAACTGGCTGAACTCAGGGAAGAATGGCTCTTTTCTGGACAAAGCACTTGTCCAATTTTTGTCAGGATTGTTGCCAAGTGCACAGGCAGAGGCAGGTTTGAGCCCTAATGCAAGACACTGGAGAATGCAGGTATAGTTCACAAGAGTTTAACCCAAGATTCAACAGAAAATAAGGCTTACAGACAGTGGAGGTGGTAACAGTTTGAATTCCAAACAGCAGATAGGGCAGCACAGAGCCAGGCGGGACACTCAGGGACACTCAACAACAACCAGTTATACATGGGCGAACGAGCAGTGGCCTGTACTACGAAGCGAGGTAACTGGCTTATCCACTTAACTCCAGGAGTAACTTCGTGACGTTGGGTGTAACCCAACCCGTAGTACGGGTTAATCGGGACTGTGACATACTGAAGCTGAGTATAATCCCCTCCCTTCAGAGTCTGGGCCGCAGGGCAGTATGTGATGCTCTGGTGAACTCCATGCCCAAGAGGGTTAAGGCAGTGCTTGAAAATAATGGTGGCCACACATAATATTGACATTTTGGGTCTAATTTGGACATTTTCACCTACCTTATACAAGCTGTACACTCACTACTTTACATTGTAGCAAAGTGTCAGTCATTCAGTGTCACATGAAAAGGTATAATCAAATATTTACAAAAATGTGAGGGGTGCACTCACTTTTGTGAGAAACTAACTGTCAGATAAATACCGTGGAGTAAAACGTGCAAACGTTTGCTCTAAAATGTAAAGTAGAAGTATAGAGTAGCAGAATATGGAAATACTCAGGTCAACTACGAGTACTTCAAAATGGTACTTAGTGACTAATCACATTTATGCCACCATCTTTGGACTTAAACCCATGCAACACAACCCAGGAGAGGGTCACCACAAAATTAAAATGGCAATAAACCTTTAAAATCTATTTTAGAAGCTATTAATGTTAATACAGATCCAATAAGCCCACCAACAAATTAAAACTTTCAGTAATGTTAACAGACAAACTCAGACTGTGGGTACCACCTTTAACAAATGACACTTGTTCCCCACACAGGTTGGGACACCTTCTCCTCATGCCTCCCACATCAGTACCACTATGTTGCTGATCCTATGAACTGGACTGAAGCTCAGACCTACTGCAGAGAGATATACATGGACCTGGCCACCATTGAAAACACTGACGAAATAAACAAGTTTCTTAACACAGTTTCATCTTTTGGTCTCAGCTCTAATGTCTGGATTGGCCTGTACACCACAATCAACTGGAGGTGGTCAGACGGCTACACAGGGACAGGAGCTGAATATAGGAACTGGAAGTATGAAAGCCAACACGTTTATTCAGCTCATGAATTCTGTGTGAAAGTTGCAAAGGATGGAACTTGGTGGGATGATAATTGCTATGTAAAACGTTTCTTTATCTGTTACAGAGGTAAGTATGTGTGTGTGGGCAGTAATTAAATTATACAGTGAGACAAATGTATATATCTTTTAATTAAATTATTTATTCACCTTTGTATTAATAATCTTAATTATTTATTGTCCTGTACAATCTTATTTATAAATGATTTTTTTAAATGTATGTTTTTGTGTTTTAATATCTACATTTATTTAATTATTTACTGTATTATTGAGCATTTAATTGTTTCTGTATTTATTTCTGATTCTGTCAGGATTCATCTTTAATATGTGAACTTAACAATTCCCTGATTTTAAAAAATTAACTGCAGGAACTGAATCCTGAATTTGTTGGTGTGAAAGTAGCAATGAGTTGGTCCAGTGCTCAGAGCTACTGCAGGAAGAACTTCATAGACCTGGCCATTGTGAGGAACCAGAATGAGAACCAGGCGGTTGCGAACGTGGTGCCGGTTGGATACTTGGCATGGGTTGGTTTGTTCAGAGATCCTGACTTTTACTGGTCTGATGGGAGTAGCTTCTCATTCACAAACTGGTACTCAGGTTACAACCCATTAGGCTCGATGAGGGTCGCATGTGGTGTTGCAGCTTTGCAGAGTTCAGGAACATGGAAGTTTCTTCCCTGTGAAACCAGATTACCATTTGTCTGCTACAGCGTCCCTGGTGAGTGGTTTACTGAGCTGCAGCGGACGAGAGAGAATAACTGATGTTAAACTGTTCTCAGACATGGTGCTCATTTACATGTATGAGTTTGGTATCACAAATGTAATTCCACACATGTTGTTCTTCTCTGTGTCTACACACCAGTAAGCAGGCAGGCGGTAAAGCTGAGGATAAAGCTGGAGGACTCCTCTGTGGATCTGAATGACCCTGCTGTGAAAGCTGACATGCTGAAAAAGGTGAGTCTCCAAAATCCACCCTGAGACACTTCGTTCAGACTGCAGGCCTTAATGCTTAATTTAGATTCTGTTTTTGTTTGACAGTTCACATTATAGTTTAAACGTGGCCCATATCAGACTCCAGTGTGTACTGTCGGCGGCCTGAAAGTGACCCGCATGCGCAGAAGAATAACACGACGTCACACGCTGCTGCAGGCTACAGGAGTAAACAATGAGCAACAGAGTTTAGCTCACGGGAGACTCCTGTTTTTCATTGTCCTCTCACGGGTCACCTTTCTCCCGAATTAAGACAAGTGCTCACAACTTTCTGTTCGTTTCATTATGGTTTCTGGCGCTGTACAACGCAACTGCCCCACAACTCAGACAGGTAGCATGCACGTAACTCAGAAGAGAACTCAAGTCCAATGGATTTCAAGTAAAAGAAAGGGAATTGTTGAGCAGATGATAGCGAGATATAGAAGGAAGAGAGCGACGAGCCACATGTTTGATAAAATCTTTTTGTGGAACTTTTTCGTTCAGCGCAGCTCCGTCTACAGCAGAACAGCTGCCCTACAGTGACGTCAAAGTCGCATCAAATGCGACCTTAGTGTCCAGACTGAGGTCGCATTTAAAAAGATCCAATCTGTATCAAATTTGGACCACATATGTAAGTGACACAATTCCGAACTGAAAGAGGTCAGATGACTTGGCCTGTTCACACGGTCATAAAAAGATTAGATCCAAGTCACATATGGGCAAAAAAAAAGAAGATTTGGGTCACATTGGCCTGCAGTCTGAACGTGGCCTTAGAAACTCTTGAAACTGTTATTCTGGGCGCATTTTTTTTTTTTTTTTTTGGTGTGTCTTTCTTGTTTCCCTATGGATAGCAGGCCAAACATAAGCTAGCTCTCAACAATGTAGTTTTGAGCAAACGTGTCAAAATAGCTGCCATTTGTGTTTCCCAGCTCCAGGACTGGCTGAAGGAGAAAGGAATAAGAGTCACCCTGAAGTGGAGAGAGGAGCCTGATGGGAAAGTCTTCCAGAAGGAGAACAAGACTGAGCTTTAACACTGAAATCCAACTGTACTTGTGTTTATCTTCAATACTTGGTGAATGTACTCTCTATCTGCTAATACACACAGTACACTATTATCACTGTACAGAGTGCTTAACCAGAACCCTGAATAAATCCTGTAGACTGTCGTAGAAGAGTTTTGTTCCTCATCATCAATATAACTGAGTGAAGTGTCTTAATGAAATCAAATTTTCTTCAAAATAAAACATACGTTGTTTACCCGTTTGATGAAATTATGTCTACATATTTACATGCTAAAAAACACACCTTCATACAGGATATGATATCCATCCATCGACAATTTAGGGTCACCTGTCTTTGGATGGTGGGAGGAACCCACGCAGACAGGGGTAGAACATGCAAACTCCACACAGAAAGTCCGGGGCAACCGGGGTTTGAACCCACGACCTTCACCAGTTCAGGATGTGATATATCATCCTGAATAATGAATGATGTTGTGAGCAAGTACTGCACATAAGCTGAGCTCTTTAATTCCTACATTTAGCGAAAGAAAGTGCAACACTGACGTCTTCTGTTAATTTTGAGAAAGTTTAGTCAGCGCAGAGAAAGCAACATGCTAATCTGTTTTACTTCGTCTCTTTGCTACGTCCATCTTTTTATATTGTCTCTGTGTGAAACAAGGTAAAGAGGAGTTAGTTCAATTGTCGTTTTAAGTAGACCGTACAATAGTGGCAGATCTTTCCTTCACTCACTGTGAACTCATCTTCAGCACCTAACTGGATGAACACACATCATGAAACAGTGGCGGTCTGGCCATCTGGAGTACCGTGACAAAGCCCGGTGGGCCGGCCAACCTCGGGTCCAGTGGGCCGCCTTCCTTAGCCTATACTTATATACAAATAATTAAAAAGTTGGCAGAAGGTTGAGTGACACGGGCTGACCCCCCTTCTCCCCAGGCATGTTGGACTACAGGTGCTGGTCATATAATTAGAATATCATCAAAAAGTTGATTTATTTCAGTAATTCCATTCAAAAAGTGAAACTTGGATATTATATTCATTCATTACACACAGACTGATATATTTCAAATGTTTATTTCATTTAATTGTGATGATTAAAACTGACAACTACTGAAAATCCCAAATTCAGGATCCCCGAAAATTAGATTATTTGTTAAGACCAATACAAAAAAGGATTTTTAGAAAAGTATGAGGATGTTCAGCACTCAGTACTTAGTTGGGGCTCCTTTTGCCTGAATTACTGCAGCAATGCGGCGTGGCATGGAGTCCATCAGTCTGTGGCACTGCTCAGGTGGTATGAGAGCCCAGGTTGCTCTGATAGTGGCCTTCAGCTCTTCTGCATTGTTGGGTCTGGCGTATCGCATCTTCCTCTTCACAATACCCCATAGATTTTCTATAGGGTTAAGGTCAGGCCAGTTTGCTGGCCAATTAAGAACAGGGATACCATGGTCCTTAAACCAGGTACTGGTAGCTTTGGCACTGTGTGCAGGTGCCAAGTCCTGTTGGAAAATGAAATCTGCATCTCCATAAAGTTGGTCAGCAGCAGGAAGCATGAAGTGCTCTAAAACTTCCTGGTAGACGGCTGCGTTGACCTTGGACCTCAGAAAACACAGTGGACCAACACCCAGCAGATGACATGGCACCCAAACCATCACTGACTGTGGAAACTTTACACTGGACTTCAAGCAACGTGGATTCTGTGCCTCTCCTCTCTTCCTCCAGACTCTGGGACCTTGATTTCCAAAGGAAATGCAAAATTTACTTTCATCAGAGAACATAACTTTGGACCACTCAGCAGCAGTCCAGTCCTTTTTGTCTTTAGCCCAGGCGAGACGCGTCTGACGCTGTGTCATGTTCAAGAGTGGCTTGACACAAGGAATGCGACAGCTGAAACCCATGTCTTGCATACGTCTGTGCGTGGTGGTCCTTGAAGCACTGACTCCAGCTGCAGCCCACTCTTTGTGAATCTCCCCCACATTTTTGAATGGGTTTTGTTTCACAATCCTCTCCAGGGTGCTGTTATCCCTATTGCTTGTACACTTTTTTCTGCCACATCTTTTCCTTCCCTTCGCCTCTCTATTAATGTGCTTGGACACAGAGCTCTGTGAACAGCCAGCCTCTTTAGCAATGACCTTTTGAGTCTTGCCCTCCTTGTGCAAGGTGTCAATGGTCGTCTTTTGGACGGCTGTCAAGTCAGCAGTCTTCCCCATGATTGTGTAGCCTACAGAACTAGACTGAGAGACCATTTAAAGGCCTTTGCAGGTGTTTTGAGTTAATTAGCTGATTAGAGTGTGGCACCAGGGGTCTTCAATATTGAACCTTTTCACAATATTCTAATTTTCTGAGATCCTGATTTTGGGGTTTTCATTAGTTGTCAGTTATAATCATCAAAATTAAAATGAACACTTGAAATATATCAGTCTGTGTGGAATGAATGTATACATTATACAAGTTTCACTTTTTGAATGGAATTACTGAAATAAATCAACTTTTTGATGATATTCTAATTATATGACCAGCACCTGTATTCCATATGAACGTCTACGCAGGCCTTAGCCCCGCCCCGTCTTTCTCATTCACATACCACAGTGACACTGGCAGCTGGAAAACGAGCTAAATGCAACAGAAAATGGACACAGTTTAACTGACATGCAAGTAAATGTAAAAAAGTAACCGACTCACTCTGTGTTAGCACTAGTACCAGACCAACGCAGACTGGAGACCCACCACTTTTCAACACAAAGTGACGCCTTTGCTGCTGTCAGTCATTAAAATGTTTCCATGCGCGCAGTAATGTCACAGTTAATATCGTGGGACATTTATGCAGCAAAACAAAAAAATAGTTTAACTCTGCAGAGGAAACAGAATTCAACTTTTAGTGTCTGAAATGTTTAGATGCTCTGATGGAGCTCAGGACTGATCAGGAGGACGGACTCCAGACACTGCCTCTGTATTAACCTGGACTGTGTGAGACCGTTTGGATGTTTATTAGAACACAGCATATTATTTAACATCAGATGCTGATGATGCTGTCGGCTTGTCGGAAGATTTAAATATGAAGTTATGCTGCTGTGGCTTGTGCGTAAATGCGCACAGCGTCTGTCTTAATGGGGAGATGCTTCACCATATTTCAGCCACCCTGAAATTCGTACGTTTTTCAACTTAGAGCATTACACATTAAGTGCTTATTATTATTTTGTTATTTATTTATTCTTCTACTTTAATAATTAACATTTCAAACATCGAGCTTCTCTGTAGACAGGTTTCATCTAAACTACTTTCTACGGAAGACAGAATCCCACTGAAAACTGTTGACAGTTGAGGTGACACATGACCCCATCAAATAAACATGCCCAGGACAAACAAAGGGGAAAACAAAAGACTGAAAAAAAACTTTGTGGAAACAAACATTTTCAGTAGAGTCTGCCTTCACACTGCTTTTTGCGTAAAAAATTCAAAAATCCTCTGGGTGGTTTAACTTGACACACACACAGACCTCAGAACAGCACAATGATGGAGAGGATCTTACTGGGTGTCTGGTGTTTCTCAGGTCAGTGGATTCTAAGATATGTCTGATTAATATTTGCAAATTATTCTATAATAAGCTGAAATAAAAAAATAAGTCACAGCTGTTGTCCTCAGTAGACTGAATAAAAAAAAATATATTTTTCACTGCTGCCATGGAAGGAGACTTTTTAGTGTAAAAATGATAATCTGCCAGCGGTGGAGGAAGAGTTCAGATCTTTACTTCAGTAAAAGCAACATTACATTACAAGGAAAAGTTCTTCCTTCAAAATCAGCACAAGCACAAAAGTAACATGAGCTAAATGTACTTGTGTATTGTGACAAATGATTAATGACATTTATTTTGCCCAGCGTTTCCCAGGTTCAGGGTCTATATTTTAGGGTCACGGTCATGTGAGAGGTTGTTAGATCATTAATTGAAGAGGAAAGAAGTGAAATAACTGAAAATTTAAGTTTCATTGGCCTCTAACAGTTATTGAAATGAAACCATGTGGGAGGTTTAGAGGGGAAATGTGTGTCTGTTTGAACTGCTAACAACTCACAGACACCTGAAACGAGACAAAGGGCCCCAACTGCTTCTTTGTTAGGGCCACGAGCCAAAGGCCCCATCCACACTACTGCGTTTTCGTTTTAAAACGGAGACCTTTTGCTAAGTTTGCACCTCCCGTCCAGACTAAAGCAGCAAAAACGAAGACCTGAAATGGAGAAGTTTGACCAGTTTTGAAACTCCGGAGGGCGTTTTAGTGAAGACGGCCAAAAATGGAGGACTTTAGAAACGATGACACAGACGCTCACGCTCTGCTCTCTGATTGGGTCTTATCAGTCATGCAAAGCAGACACACAATGCCACTGACAGAGTTTTTGACATGGTATTTTATTAATATATTCTGTACCATGCAAATAACACTTGCTGTACATGTCGGCGTTTACTTTGCGACGACTCCCAGTCTTTTTTCCAGCATTACGCTCCCGCGTTACATTCAGTAATTGTCCCAGCTCGTTATTGGTCTATGCAAAAAAAAATCTGGTCTGATTCTTCGTCTGTAGTGCTTTATTCTTTCGCCAAATCTTCTGTAACTATGCAACAGACCATATGCTTCATGTTTATACTGGCACGCGCATGCCCAGTGTGCGCGAACGGCCGCTGGATGTGCGGTTTCAGTCATTTTAAAGCCAACCAGCTGACCCTGAGCAGCAGTTAGACAGTTATTAGTCTCAGTGAATTTTGTGGATATTTTACTTTTTTCACTTTAGGCGTCATGTGATGTGAGGTTGTTCAATCATGACAAAATCAGTGTGTGTTCTGTAGAAGTTTTATAACTACTGAATGTGCAGCGTATATGTGTGTTTGTGTTGTGCAGTCTTTTTAAAGTAGTACTGCAATAGTGATCAATGGCTGTGATGCTGCTAGGTGGTTATGTTCTTAGAGGCTGGTCGTGTTTGCGGCTGTGGTGAAGTATACGTTGGGCAGTTCAGGTGAGTTGGTCTGGATCAAAGGCCATTTTTTAATCCCAGTCAGTCCCCGGAATGGGTTGATATAAAACACTCAAATGCACACAGCACACAGTTAAGCATATTATCATATGTAGCGCTGTACTAATTGGAGGATGCATTGTAAAGCCAATAGGCTAATAATAATCAAACAAGCAGCAGTCAATCCAGCGTCTAATACAGTGCAATGCAACTTTGTTCATGGTTGCGGGCCGCTCACCGGTCACAGCTGTACT